ATTATTGTTTAGCATCTGTAAAAGGTGTTAGACAATTTGCAGAAGCTTTTTCTGAAAATTCAATTATTATTTCACAGAATGATAAAGCTAAAGTTCCTTTGGCAATTCCAGCAGTAAGTCGTACTTTTTTTATAGTTCAATCACAAAATCTGCCTGTATCTATCCCCGATCATGATTTTCCAGTATCTTCAAAACACAAATTAATTCCCTCTGTATATCTTATAATTGATCCAACTAATACAAATGCGATCAGGACATTGGCAGTTTTGTACAACCAGAATTATGGTTTTCAACAACAGCTTCAAGTTATATGTTTGATTTACATAAAATTCAACATCTTCAAGACTTTCAAATATCTTTTTTAGATTGTAATAATATGCATCATCCAATTGTAATTCTCTTGGTAGATAGAGGACCTGATGAAAATCCATGGCATCTAAAAAATATAAAACAATATTGTCAGTATTTTCGTGATGCAGATTTAGATTATATGATAATTCGTACACATGCACCTGGTCAATCTGCATATAATTCTGTTGAACGAAGTATGGCATCTTTATCTGGAAAACTTGCAGGAATTACTCTTTCTCATAACAAATATGGTAATCATTTACGAAGTGGAAAAGTGGTTAATGATAATTTAACACGTTAAAATTTTGCTTATTCTGGTAAAACATTATGTGAATTGTGGAAGAAAGATCGTATCAATGGTCATTCTGTACATGCTGAATATATTTCAGAAAATAATATAGAAATAAAAATATCAGTTTCCTGATCTTGGATAGAAGCTCATACTTAAATTTATTGTTACTCTCTTGATATTCGCAAATGTAATAATTTACAATGTTGTAAACCAAAACGTTGTGAAACAGCTGCTATATTATTAGCACAAAATAATGGTTTTCTTCTACCTGTTTCTAAAGGTCGTGATAATCATTTTTTGAATCCAATTCATATTCTAGAATATTTTGATTTGCTAAAAATCCCTAAATATAATCAGCATTGTCCATCTATATCTTCTGAATTATACCAACAATTATGTTGCAATTTATGTGGTAAGTATTTTCCAACATTATCTTTTGTGACTGAATACAAAAAAACAGTTCATATACAACATTGTCAAAATTCATCATATGTTCGAAAACTCACGTACTTTTGAAGATATATCAAATAATTATCCTTTTAAAAAATTTGTTTTAGATTTTAGAAATGTATTGTCCGATCATGAATAATTACCAATATATTTGATTTTAATAAATTTGACATGTTTGCATAATAATAATTACGATATATGATAAATTATAAATATAAAATAAAATTACCATATATAGATATATAAAATTACTATATATAGACGTGATTAATGAAATAACCCCTTCCTCCCTTTTCTAATCACGTAATTTCTGGCCCTTCTCTAATGTGACTAAAGAAGGGGAGTGATTATATAGGAGGTAACTATAGAGAGGGTCGACTGTATAAGATGAAACTGAAGCGAAAAGTTTCAGCTTTGAGAAAATTGTTTCATTTATTGTTTTGCTTGAAATACTATATAACACACATAATTTATTATACTTAAAATTAGGATGGATTTTTTCTAAATAGATTCAAATAGATTCAAACAATCCAAACAAATGTTAAGAATTAAACAATTTATAAAACTCAAATTATTCTATAATAAACAAATCATTTTTTCAATAAAAAATGGAAAAAGAACATTATTTATGTAAATGTGTATCGTGTTAAATAAATGAAGATGATATATTTGTATCTAGACCGATATATACTCGCCATCGTAAAAGAGCTCAAATTTTATCATGTCAAGATGATGAAAATATTGATCAAGTTAAAGTTCATGATCAAGATTTTCATGTTGAATTTTATGAAAATATGGGAACTTTGCAATAGAAAGGGAGGAAACTCTAAAAAAATTTTTTTTGAGTTAATGTTAAATCTGAACTTATTTTACTAAAAAAAACCATAATTAGCTTAGCTTATAAAGTAAAATTTTAATTTTTTTAGAGTTTCCTTCTTTTCTATTGCAAAGCTCCTATATAATTGAAAATATTGATGATATTGATGATTTTGATGATTTTGATGATTTTGACAATTTAGAAATAATATCAGATAATGGAAAAGAAGAAGAAGATGATGATGATATTTCTAGTCAATATGATAAAGAAGAAGAAGATGATAATAATAATAATATTAATAAAGATGAAGATGATAATAGTAAAGATAGTGATAGCAGTGATGGCAATGAAGACGAAATGCAAATAAAAGATCATAATATCATTAGTGAAGAAGTCATTAAAGGCCTTAAACTTCTATATTTAAAATCTTTATTTAATTTATCAGAAGTAGCATATTATGGTATTAATAAAGCATATGTAAAAAAGACCTTAGTTTATATAAGGTTAAAAAATCATTAGAAAGAATAACAGGACTTGTTCCTATCTTTATGATATATGTAAAAATTTTTGTATATGTTATACTGGAATTTATGAATCTTTTTAGAGTTGCTTATTATGCAGTTTATCAAGATATGATGATTTAATAAATAAATCTAAAAAAGTTATGTCATACCTTTTTATCAAAAAAAAATAGAAATCTAATATAATAATAAAGTAAGAGCAGAAGAATTACTTTACTGTCATCAATATATTAATAATAAAGATATTGATTCAGAAGATTTAGAAAATATTTATGACAGAAAAATCTATAAAGAATTATTGGAGATTAATCTATTTAATGATAAAAGGAATATTGCATTCACTGTTTCTTGTAATAGATTTTAATTATTTAAACAAAAAACAGATGATTGTTAGATATTTCTTTTAATCAACAATAATCTTAATCCTTCAATTTGAGTTAAAAAAGAAATTTGATAATTCCTTTTTTAATTTCCAAGCCAACTTCACCTAAAGATTTCAATTCATTTTTAAGATCCTTTATAGATAAAATGAAAAAATTAGAAAATAAGTAAATTTTTTTTTTATAATACCATTTTTAATATAATTTTTATTAAAAAAAAATTTATTTTTAAATGGAATAACATATTATGATGTATTTATCGAAAGTGAATTTACATTACATGCATATATTTTTGCATGGACTGGTGATATTTTTGCTCTCTTAAAAGTTATGAATATTACTTATCATAATTCATTTTCTGGTTGTAGATTTTGTGAAATTAAAGAAATTTATTCATAAAAGCATAAGCATGTTTACTTTCCTTCTAAAGAAACATATGCGAAAAAGAACTATATTGAATGGTAATCGCATTTTAATGAAATAGAAGTTGTGTCAACTTCTAAAAATAAGAAATCTTTAATACAAAAATATGGTAAATATAAATAATTATTATAATTTATTAATATTT